AACAATGGCTTAAACTCAGACGGCGGCGCCTGGCCTGCTTGTTGCCTGACGCTCTTGCGAGTAAGCCTTCCCCTTCTAGTCTTGAACAGGGCGACCTTGACGGCTCCGCTCGTGAACCGTGTGAACGAAGGAGTCTCAAACTCAAACTCAACTCCTTCATTTCCCGTGCGCAGGTCTCCCGCGTTTGCCTTCGCGGAACCGATCAGCTTCGTTAGTTGACGGGTCGGGGACAGGCTCCGCACTCTGCATCAGCCGCATTAATTGCGCTACACACAACAAGCCGCTAAAGGTTACCTCATACTAACTCCTCCCCTCTCAAGTGTGTTACTGGATACTCGATGTCCAGTAACGCGATACAAAAAAAAAAACATCGCTCAAAATAAACTCACTCTCGGTGCGCGCACATGGGTGAACGAATTTTCGCTTCAATCTCAACAGGAGAAATTTCGCGTCTTTCTGCGAAATAGACACAGTAACACATATACATAATGCTCAAATGGTCCTCCGAAAGAAAACATTCTCGTAATGCACAACAATCAAGAACGCAGCACCAGTCAGTTCGCATTAGCTTGAAACAGGGCAAATGCGCCGTGCATAGTCCTGCGGCTATTGTCTTTTGAATTTACCACACTACACGGTCATTGTCCCAACACGGAAGGCCCACTCCATGCGCCCTCCAGGCCTCGTATGACACACTCAAAGAGAGCGACGGACCCAGCGCTATAGGTATACCTTAATCGCAACTGATCGCACCAATAAAAAAAATTATAACGCACTCACTTCACAAAGGATATCTTATTTCATCTACAAAACTATTCCTACACAACAGATCTACCACACCTAAAAGCAGTTCTACCGCTTGGAGGCAAGCTCGCATCTCAACAACAACAACAACAACACAACAAAAAATTCCTGGTATAACAAACAAAATATTTTCACATCACGCATCACGCCGGCACTATTAGTCTGTTCGACCCACTTAACATCATGCATAACACTTAAACGTGCGATGCAAACTCCTGTACAGTCATTCAATTCACAGAAACTACTTCGGTGGCTACATATCAACAACAACAACAACGAAAAAAAAAAACTCAATGGCACCTGAGGCAGCCAAAACAGCCTATTAACACAAACAGTTACAATCACGCAACCCAGTGATCATCCTAGACGCGAAAAAGCATTAGCAGCCTTGTTCAGCGCGCCTTTAATATGAACAATTTGTTAGTCACATTCGCCTCTCATTCAACTGTGGACCCCTCCAGTAGCGACTGGCGCAGCCTTTTACTAAAGGATGTGACTGATCGTTCACATTCACCTATCGTTTAAGAAAGGCAACCTCTAATTGCCCTTTTTTGATGCGTCCGTGACGAAACAAAAAGCTTTGCTGTGGTTGGTTGCCGTCAACTCAGAGATCAACGTCAAGCCCTCTAGCTCAATCAAACGCTGCCTGTGCCTCTACTTTGCACGGCAGCGTGTTCAACACTCTCGAACCGCCACAACCGACAAATAGCCGACTTTTCACAAAATGTATTTCACCATGTCACCACTCTTCGGTAACACGTCATACCTAAACACTAAAAAAAAAAGAAAACGCAAAACTTGTTTAAAATAACCTCTCGTCACGTAATATAACTGTTTCATCCCTTAAAAAAACAACGGAAACCAAAATTACCTTCAACAAATCCAGTAGTTCAATTCTCCAAAGAACTTACGGCTCCATTTTACACTTCAGTGGTGCACGCGATGGTCCTAATCTGGGGACTTTTCCTTTTAAACGGGGAATACGCAAGACGTAGAACGCCCTCGTTCCATCGCTGAACCCCAATGCTAGCCGCTTTTTAAGGCGTTTTCTCCTTTTTTTTCCTGAGAAGTTACTGTAGAGGTTCTTGAAAGGGAAAAGAGAAAAGCGCGGAGCTGTTATTGTCTTTCAACCCGAAGGCACCTACACTGCCCCGCGCGGGGATGGGGGAGGAGAAGATAAAGAAGGAGGAGAAAAGTATAGGCGGAGGAAGGGCGCATTCGACTGTGTCGCGCGGGGTACGCGCTGCCGCCGGGAAAGAGAAAGCAGTCAGGCAAGCAGGCATGGGGCGGAGAGTTGGAGCACCACGTGATGAGCGTCAGAGGAGGCGGGCGGGCCGGCGAGTTAACAAAGGCGAGCGGATAATGGAAGGCAAGATTAAGAGCAACTTTCACCAAATACACTTATGTTTTTACTTGCATTGCATGTCACGCATTGGCATCACTTGTAGCCAGGTGCGTTTTCTTTTTCCCATTTACATACCTTGAGGCATGTGCAAGGGTGTGTTCAATGAGAGATGGGATGCAGCACAAAAAACAAAAAAGCACTCGTGATGTTTACAGAAGCCCAATCACATTCAAACAAGAAGATGGTGGGTCATTGGTAGCAACAACACTACTAGCGGTGTGCAAATATTTAAATAACGGACCAAATAGCATTCGCTAGTCCAATTTAAACGTACATACATGAAATACCCAATATTTAAAAAAAATAATTAGCCCCGATGGGACAACCCTGAAGCAGCAAAACATGGGATCAGCTGAAGGTTTATTTTATTTTTGTAATCCCTGAACTACCACAATAAATGCAGCTCAAGTATTGGCAGCACTATTGATTCTATAACCATTACCAGATAAATCATTTTTACTGCAAACTGCACTTTCACTCTGTTTTTACTGTGGTGGAACTGCAGCATCGCATTAATCCTTTCCTGTTTTCATCATTGAAGTTAGGGACTATGACTGCATTTAGCTTCACGAATAAAAACACATGCCAGTAAGTCTCTTGTTCACGTAAATTGTTCACACAGATACAGCTTTCAACACTTGTTTTTTTTCATGCTATCTGCGCCAGGGTATATGTTGTGATAATTTTGCCTGTTCCAATAAATATTTAGCTGAATGCATGGTGTTCGGTTCAAAATTGTTTAGATTTTATGCTGAAGTTTTACTTAAAAGCTGGCAACAGAGTTTTAACTTGAATAATGGAGTTTCTGAGGCATTTTGACATACAGCTGAAAATTATTTTGAAGGCTCTGGTCGCTGCTGTATACAAGCTTATCACAGTTTTCATAATTGTAGTATTATTTGGTGACACCTCGTGAATATTTATTTCAAATAAACTGTTTTGGAGTTCAAGGATTATTTTTAAAAAAAGGTTTCCTTCCTATTTGAAAACTACCAGAAGAGTATTAGGTTAATTTAAGCGTTATTGTTGGTTATACCGTTATTGGATTTATATTGAATTCGCTTTTGAAATTTACTACTCCCAAACCACTTGCTTGCGCGCGTCTGTAATACAACAGTGTTCAGGCTGTCAACGCTTCACCGCTCTACATGCATGCATCGCGGTGAAGTGAGAAAAAAAAATCGCTGACTTGAGGCGGGTTCTTTGCATGCACAACATACAGTAGATTTCGAAGTGTATTTGGCCTAGCGGGAATACGCTGTCACCCGCGTCCTTCTCTTCTAATAAAAGCGCGGCCTCTCGCTCCTCATGTGAACGGAATTGCTTGGCGTGTTGATAGAGTGACGCTACGAAGACATTCGTTTGCAGGTCTATCGAGAAGCTGCTACAGATATTCGTGCTTCTCATTTGGCATCGCTATCATAATCAGTAGCGGTGGCATTCACTACGAGTAGCCTAAGATATGCCAGAGTGAGTGCAAGCTGAGCGATGAGTGACGTGCGCGACGTAGGCACTCAAGTGCTCCGAAACCAGCTCTTTGAGCTGCAACAAATGCTTATCGAGTTACGATTATTGTTATATAGTCCGCACATGAATTCTTCAAACCATCATCATCCATTTTTCACTGCATATCTGCGCCGACTTCGATGCTTTCGGCGATCGTTGTAAACAGAGCGACGAGTCTTGCGGCAGCGTCGACACAGGCGCGCGAACAGCGTTTCTGTCGCACCTTGGTAGCACCAACTCCTTGATAGCGCCGTCTTCCCATTCATCGTAGGCGGTTTGCCAGTACGCGTGCGAGCGTCAACTTTGTTCTCGCTTGCATCGCGGCGTCTTCATCAGCTGTGCCCCCGCCTGACACACGAACACTGCAGCATCGTTATAGTGAACTAGAAGTACTTCTAGTTCACTATAGCATCGTCCTGGGCGCAGCCGTGTTTGCTGACGGCATCACGCACGAACCAATGAGCGCGCAGCTTCAGAGAGCCTGTAAGAGTGCCTGGCGCAGTGCATTGTGTGTGTGTGGGGGGGAGGGGGGGGGTCTATCCGCTCGCCTTGGTAAACTCGCGGCCCGGCGCGTGTTTTCGCGTAGGCCATAGAGTTTCTTAATATACACTAGAGGGAACTCAGGCGCTAGTGTATATGGAAGCTGCAACACACGGCGCTTCAGCGAGCCTGGGAATGATGGGTAGTACACACATTTGTCTAATTTTCGTACTTCTGGCTCTGTGTGTGTTCGTGTGGCTAAGAGCTGTTTTTTCAGAAAAACATAAATTAGCAAATGTTCACCGTTTGCGCTTCACCTTATTCTTTTAGGCTTACCATTTCGAATCAAGTCACTTAATTTAAAAGGGTTCGTTCTTTCTTTCAAAACAAAACCGTAACCTGCAATAAACGAAGCCGCAAGTACGATTTGCCACCCGCAAGTACAAAGACTAAGCAAATGTGTGTACTACAGTCCCATCATTCCCATGGTCGCTGAACGATCGCAGCACCAGAGTGCCCTCTAGTTAATTTCGGGAAACTCTATGGCGTAGGCCCAAAGTTTGCGCAGTGTGGCAGCTTGGGCTAGTTGGTATGGCATGACGATAGTTATAGCGTGAGAACAGAACGACGACACAGAGACACGTAGGACACGAGCACTCGTGTCCTTCTTGTCTCTGTGTCGTCTTTTTGTTCTCGCGCTATAACTATCGTCTTGCGCAGTGCTCTAGCACCAGTGAAAAGGATTAAATTGCGCGCTCATGACCTTACTCTGCGTACTTGCCAGAGATGGCGCCAGCGTGCAGGTTATCGTCATTTTGGCATTAGAAAAGCGCAGTGTCGCAATAGGTTTGCGTTATACGTGAAAATGTTACCTAGCCGAAACGCTCATTTAAACTGCTTAAAGTTGATCAGAGAAATCCGATAATTTCATTTCTGTACTTGTATGTCCGCAACTGAGTATCTTAAGCTAGCTTACGTTGTTAATATATACTTAATATTCTCTCATGGTCATCTACAATCACCGCTGAAAACACGGCGCAAGGCGGCTTTTCCGTACGTATATTATTGCTGTAGCAGCAGGAAGTGTTACATTTTAAAATTTTGCAAGGTTGCCATGCGAACTAGTTGGATTTGTAAGTGCGTGAAACGCATCAGAAAGGAAGGCTTTCAAAGCTTATTGTAGCTCGCCCTCGTGGCTTCACGAAAGGGATTCCCTCATACCTTATTGAGGCATCAACACCAACCAAGTTGCTTGTACTGATATGGCTTTGTAATATAGAAGTGTAGGGAGTTTTTGTGTCTTATCAGGACAGGCTTCTTTTCTGAGAGTTCGTTTGTTATTTCAACTGCACTTGATCCTCCGAACTCTGGTTTTCCACCGTTATAATGCCCCCGAATATGCCACTCACTTCATGATCGTGCTTTCAGATTTTTCCTCTCAGCAATGGCATCAACAAAGCTACCTGAGCAGAAAGTTATTCTCTGTGGAGAGTACGGTGTTGGGAAGAGTTCGCTGTTTCGTAGGTTCACGACTAACACTTTCGTTGCAAGCAACGATCGAAGCTCCACGCTTGGTTTGGACCATTTTGACAAAGTCTATAAAGTTGCGGGACGGGATCTCAAGGTAAGACTTGCCTTGCTTGTGAGCGTAAACTTTATTCATTTTACTTGACAGGAAGGAATATTAGCGTGCGCCATGCAACACAGTTTTTTCCTCTGCTGAATCAAAGGCTCTGGAGCAGTGTGTGTGTGTGTTTTCACGCATGTGCGCGACTGCCAGTAGTTTATGATCTACATAAGTGACAGAGCGAGTGTCGGAACAAGACACAGGTTCAGAGGAATAATATTGAGGCTTGCAAGTAATGAGTACACTGCATTATGAGGAGCAGTCGAACAGGCAGTGTCACTAGAGTCAACGTTCTGACTAGGGGACTTTTCCTGGAAAAGTCCACTTGTGTGAGAAAATGTTGGTTGCAGTCACTTTGCGACAATTTGTGACCAGTTGCTGCCCTTATAAAGACAAGTTCACATTTCAAAAAGTTGGCTCCAGTGACATTTTCTGTACGGCAAGCTCTCATCTCAGCAGATGTCAGATGCATAAAAAAGAATAAGTGCTAGTGGCTAGTTAGCTTGAAAACGTGTGGCGACATTTTGGTTCTGAGGCTGCCCTGTGTAAAAATTCCGTTAGATGGCATAAAAAAGTTATGAAATTTCGAGGCTGAGTGCAATAATACTGCTTCCCTTAATAATGTTGTCAGATATATGCACAAAGTATGGGAACACTATTTGTAAGTCATCATCATCAGCCTGACTGTGCCCACTGCAGGGCCAAGGCCACTCCCATGACCCGCCAATCCAACTGTCTTGTGCTTTCTGCTTCCATTTAATACCTCCAAACTTTTTAATCTCATCGGTCCACCTAACTTCCTGTCTCCCCTTCATGCGCTTGCCTTCTGTGGGAATCCAGTTACCCTTAATGACCAGTGGTTATCTTTCCCTACATGCTACATGCCTAGACCTATGTCCATTTCTTATTCTGGATGTCAAGATTAATATTCTTAACTCCAGTTTGTTCTCTGACCCACTGTGCTCTCATCTTGTCTTCCAAGGTTCATTTTCCTTTCCATCGCTCGCTGCATCGTCCTCAATGTAAGCTGAACCCTCTTTGTAAGCCTCCAGGTTTCTGCGCCCTAGCAAAGTACCGGCAAGATGCAGCTGTTATATACCTTCCTCTTGAGCGCTAGTGGTAGATTACCATTCATGATTTGAGAATGCTTGTCTAATGTGATCCACTCCATCCCTATTCTTCTAGTTCACTCTCAAGGTTCAGCTCCACAGTTACTACCTGTGCTAAATAGGCATATTCCTTAACCATTTCCAACGACTCTCCACTTGTCACAAAGCACTGTTTTCTGGCAAGACTATTACACAATATTTTAGTTTATGCATATTAATTTTCAGGCCAACTTTTCTGCTTTGGGTGTCCAGTTCTATTATCATGAGCTATATATAATTTGTGCCCTGGGTTAACTATCAAAGCAATGTCATCCATACATTGCAGGTTACTAAGGTACTATTAATTAACTATGATCCCTAAATCTTTCCAATCTAGGGGCCTAAAAACCTCCTGTAAACACATAGTGAATCGCATTGGTGAGATCCTGTCTCCCTGCCCTACAGCCTTCTTTATTGAGCATTTGTCGCTTTCTTTATGGAGGATTATGGTGGCTGTGGATCCACTGTAGATTTCTTTCAATGTATTTATGTAGGGTTCGTCGACCTCCTGATTCCGTAATGCCTGCATCATTGCTGATGTGTCGACTGAGTCAAACGCCTTCTCGTGATCTGTGAATGCTATGTACATGGGTTGGTTGTATTATGCGCATTTCTCTTATAACCTGATTGATAGTATGAATATGGCCCATTGTGGAGTAGCCTGTATGAAATCCTGCTTGGTCTTTTGGTTGACATTGAATTCTAATGTCGTCCTAATTTTAGTAGCTAAGACTTTGTAAATAGCTTGTAAAAGCTCATCGGCCTATAATTTTTCAAGTCCTTGACGTCTCCTTTTTTTTTGGATTAAGATGATGTTGGTGTTTTTCCAAGATTCTGGTGCCCTTCTCCGCAAAAGACACTTGGTATATAAGGTGGCTAGTTTTTCTAACGCAATCTCTCTGCCATCTTTAAGCAGGTCCGTTATGTTATCCTCACCAGCGGCTTTGCCTTTTTGCATTCCTTATAGAGCTTTCATTACTTTCCCTGTAATTACTGTTCGGATGCCAAGTTCATCTGGGCTATTATTGCTTATTACAGTATCATCCTGGTTGTTTTGGCTTCTGTACAGCTTTCTGTAAAACTGCTCTGACACCTTAACTACCCTATCTATATTGGTAGTAACTAGCCTTCCTTGTTCTTTAATGCATACATCTGATTTTTGTCTATGCACAAGCTTGCCTTCGCAGCTTTCAGGCTTTTTACCACATGTTGAATTTTCTCTATGTTATACCTTCTTTTGTCGGCTACCTTACGCCCGTTAATTAACTTCAAAAGCTCTTCTAGCTCTAATTTCTGCCTTGAATCAAAAGAAAGTTTACAAAATTTTGAGGGCTACTTGTATTAATACCGTTGCCAATAACAGTGGTGTCAAATTACACACAAAATATGTATGCAGTGTTTGAAAGCAGCTTGTAAAGTCCAAATTCTGTAAGCGTTTCACGAAACCTTGTCAAGAATTATTAGGCTTGTTGGTCTGCAATATCTATTGTAAAAAGCAAACAAGTGCAAAAAGTCTTGACAAAGATATAAGCATGCTTTTATCTGTTCTGTCTCCGTCTTTAATATAAGAGATTATTTTTTGTTACATTTGAAATCGAGATAACTGCATGTCTGTGCAATGTATTTCAGTTCAGTAGCAGGAGTGCCATCACTGCAGATTTCGTGACATAGCCACTCTGTGTACTGTACTTTCTGATTTGTGAATGACTATAGCTGCAGCTCTGGGACACTGGGGGCATGGAGCGTGTGGCATCCGTCACGTCCAGCTACTACAAGTTTGCTGAGGCAGCTGTGTTGGTGTTTAGCCTGGACAATCCTGACTCATTCAACATCTTGTCACAGCACCTGCTCGACATCGTAAGCTATGCTGAGAATGCTAAGATCTTTCTCTGTGGAAATAAAGTTGACTTAGTAGGCCGCATATACGTCTCAGAAGCAGATATAGAAGCTTTCTGTGAGCAGTGCCACAATCTCATGAGTGGGGTTTACCGCACTTCATGTAAAACTGGTCAAGGCATCGAGGAGATGTTCACAGACATTGCACGGCAGCTTGTCATGTCTTGCAGAGTGAAGGATTTGGATGATGTGGCCAAAGACTCATTCAAGGTCACCCAGCCAGAAGAAACACAGGAATCATGTAGTTGCTAGGCGTGAAGGATCAGCACACTTAAGATAAAAACGCGATATAGCAGCTGACTTAAAGAGAAAGTTGAAATCCTTCAAACCCACCTGCTTTCTACTGCATAGGATAAACCCATTGCCAATTTTTCTCAAAATGGTGCATTGTTTTGTGCCTGTTAGTGATCATGGCCATTTTTGTATATCAGCACGAAGGTGCTATTTGACGTGGACTTAAGAGGCATTTGTTTTCATTGCTTTATTACTAGGTCATTTTGGCCCATGCACAAGCCATATTTCAGAATTTTCCAGTCACTTCCATAGTGCGAGTTACAACTGCTCTTTAAAAAGCTATTCAGTGTTGATTTGTTTTCACATTCTTATCACGTTGCCTGCACAAGGATTGTGTCATTGTGTATGAGTTTGCCAGTTTTTTGTGCAACTTTACAAACTTTATGCATGTCAAAATAGATTGTACATTCATGTAAAAGTGTTGTATAGTTAGTTACCAATATTGTGCAAGCACTTTCAGAGTGTATTGCTTGTTTACAAAGCTGCGTAATGGGATTCAACATGTATCTGGAATACGTGGCATGTTGCTCAGCCACTTGGCCCAAGATTTGTTTGCAGCCACTTCATTCTTTGCTTGCCAGCTCAATAAGTGTTGTGCAAGAAAGCTTGTATGAAAATATTGTTCGGTCATCTGCTGATTGGGCAGTTTTTCATTATATATATATATATATTTTGCATTGAGGCAGAAGGAACAAAGTGCCAAACATATGTGGACATAGTGGCGAAGCCATGTTTTTTTGAGATGGTGTCTATTACAATTGTTTGTTGTCGGTGAAATACTATTAGTTGACAGAATGCTATGAAACCAATTGTCGTACGCCTTTATTATAGCTGTGCTATGTACATATCATGTAGTTTCCTATCAGACATGCATCTTGCAAAACAGGGAGCCCTTATGGCACCATGCACTGTTCACAGTTAATAATTGGGTATAATTTTCAAGTTTTGCTAATAAAGTGCTTATAACAGTAAAGTTGTGTCCTTGTCTTTTGTTGATACACATGCTGCTTTTTAAAAATAGCAATAGGGAGTTTTTGAATAGGGGCTCCTAAGCACTTTGCGTATGCACACTCTGGGACAAGCAGGAGCGAAGAGTTTTCAATTAGGACCTGCGACACTTTTGACACTGCCCAATTCTTAGTCACTCTAGTCTTGGCCGAGAGCCATCACTTCAGTCGGTGCAGTCACGTTTTTTTGACACAAAGCTTTAGGGCAGGCTTTGTGGCTCCCACTAAATTTGAGAAGTAGCGTCGCCAACGCAAAACCCAAATGCATGCGCAGTGGCCACGATGCTATTTCTTTGGGGCCCCTATTCGATAACTCCTCAATATTTCTGAACAGCTTAAATTTGGTGAGAGCTCAGATTCCAGTCATCTGGCACATCCAAGGGAAATCAAATCGCACTAGTAGATAATCACCCGTGATTGTGTGCAGTTATGTAAATGTTGCGTAGAACATTGCCACCATACATATTATTGCTGCTCCTCAATCCGGATAGCCAGTGACAAGATGAATTAGACATCGTTCCCATGTGATCTACATTTGTGCTGATCTCTGTAAATCAGCAAATGCTGATGTTACACATGATGCATTATAGTCTAAAACCTGTGACACCCTTCAGATTCATTTCGTGCCCTTTTCTTGCTTATCAAAGATAGTTTATGCTACAAAATACGATTTGTAAGCACATCAGTGTCTTTAATCTAGCTCAGTTGGATTGAAACCTTAAAAGCAAGACAGATTTCAAAAAGCAGATTTAAATAATTATTCCAGATTACTAATTTTTTCTACACACAGCCACAGTATAAAATGCATGCCACATTTCTAACAAAATACGATGATGTAAGTAAGTTGATGAAACAAATTAATTTGCTACAATATTCATTTTATGACATAGCTGTAATAAAGGCCAGGGTTGTATTTACACTTGCTGTAGACTTAAGTGCCTGTGCAACATCTGCAGAGCATGCTTTTCATACACCACATTGCAATGTTGGAGCCAGAGCTATACAAATATTGAAATTCTAGACACCGGGGGGCGACTTTCTGTACTGGTCAGCGAAGTCCTTTATCTTTCGCCATAGTTCTTGTGGCTCATCCACACGTGGTACCTGCAGACATAGTTAAAATAAGCATGTAGTATCCAAACACGCGAAGAACTGAAGTAGAGTGCAATTCTTACATTGAAATGATAGGCTCCACTACTTGCATACACTGTATCTTATGCCTAAAATTTTTAGTACACTTATGGCCCAAGTCTATCCATGTTTGCAAATAGTCATTTATGTCAACAAGCTCCACTAATTACACCAACCGTGAGCATCAGTTAAAGGAACTGCGAAATTTCTGTGAAAGCACATTGTAAATACAAGGTGAAAACATCAGTATTGAATAAATAAATGCGAAAGTTACTCCCCTTTCCTATTTTGGATAACGCAGCTTGTCCTTGCCGAACTGTTCCTCAACAGTTCGAGGAGCATAGCTTGTCCTGCTTGATAGAAAAGCTTTTTCTGGTCAAAATGTTTAAAATTGTTGGATTGATGAAACTACTTTCAGAATGCAGAAAATTTCCAACAGTGCTCCTGCACTTGTTACATTCTTTATTGCTAATTATTTTTGGTTAGATGGCTCCTTTTTGCACGAGTAATTAACAATAAATAAACTTCATTGAACTACTTTGACTTTGTACATGCTTCAATTTTCTTTTACAACAGCAAAAACGTGCACTATGAATGAGAAATACGGAATAACAAGTTTACTAAAAAAATAGCCATTTTCAAGAGTAAACTTATCAAAACAGTTAAGGGGTTCATGACAGTAAGGCACTAGTCGTGCAGAGTTGAAACTTTCTCTTCCGTCAACTAAGACAACGCTGTGTCTAAAGATGCGTCGGACATCGCGCGCTTGCACTCAAGTGACTCCAAATTGGACCAGCCCGTCCGTCGTTTGTTCACATGTGGACCCGCGGAAGCATGGATCAGAGAGTCTAAAAGATACGTCAGACGTTGCACTTTGTCGTCTACTCAAGCTTGATTCACGACTTTGGTTATAGCATTTGATTAAAAAAAAAAAGCGCGCTTACGTGTACTGGTTAGTTCATGAAAGACGGTCGCAGTTGCGGTTTCAAAGAGCATCCAAGTGAGGCGGCACCAGAATATGGTTTCCATGCAACCTCAGCTGGCTACATGGACTCAGAAAACCACGTTTACACGAGCACCGCCCGGTCACTTTTTTACAGCGAAGGCCCTAGGTGCATTGTTATGATCCCCTCTCAGAGGTTGCAACTATAGGCGCGAGTCGGCCCCTTTTTTCTGTTCAAAAGGTCTGCTAGGAGAGAACACTTGCAATGATCCTGGCAGCTAGCACAAACTTGTGATGCAGATGGCAATTCGTCGTTTACACGAAAACTGAAGGCGCGTTTCGCGTGTGGTGGGGAGGTGACAAGAGTCCTATAGACTGGCACTTCAGGCAAAGTGCCTATTATTCCTGGAGTCCGTTTTGAGCCTATTCCACATATAAACACGAACTAAGTGATGGGAAACATTTTAATCGCATATTTATTGTGCCTATAAGCACCTATCTTGAGGTTCGGGCTTATATGAGCTTTTCAGCGTCTAAAAATGCCTTTTTTCACGTTCGTCGAGTAGATGTTTGGTTGAATAAGCTCTTTATACGGAGGAAAACAGGAAACGCTTGGTGTGGCCATATTAACGACAACACCTGCATAGCGCGCTAGTTGTTTTTTTCGCTTATGTTTTTAGCTCCTGGTAAGGTGCGCTTATGGTTCGACGTAGGGTCGACGCGGACATACACTATGTCATGTCGGCGAAAACAGATCATAAGTCGACGCACTGCCACAGCCAACGTATATCTAGACCCGATCAATGCGCTCCAACGCATGTGACGTTGGCCAACGCTCCCAATAACATCGCATTATAAACGCGCTTTTACGTCAGCAAGGCTTGTACCCCAGCGAGGCTAGCACCTATAGCGCTAGCAGGCCTCTCTAAAAGATTTCCTTTGCTTGGTTCGAGAGTAGTGAAGCATGGCAGTTGCGTTTGGGAGGCTAGAGGGCAGTGTAGCTAGAACGTACTCTAATCGGCCGAAACTAAGCTAGGCTAGCGCTGCCACATACAGCCTACACGCAAGTTTCATTGACATTTATGTTCTCCATAACGGCAGTTGTTGGAAGTCTACCAAGCAATGCGGAATAAAAAGAAGCTGTAAAGTGTACTTGTCAGGCAATGGACTCGCGGATCACAGCGCTGCTCCGTAGAACGAGAAACATTCCATGTGGAAAACAGGGGATAAGACATTGGAAAGGTACAATATTTTGTGTTTGATGTCCACTCTGAAGCACGCATAGGCATAAAGCTCCTAACATTGATTCTACAACTGCCAATTTAACCCCAGAATCTGCGCAAATAACATGTATGTTGTGGTCATTCTACGGGCACACAGATTCATTATGTTATTTTTATACATACATCTGTGAACTCGCATGCACTGATTACACAAAATGCAGCCATATGCGAAAGCTTCACTGACACAAGCCACTTTCAACTTTACCTCTTACACTGTATAGTAATCCACCATTTAAACTTCTAAAGTAATATCATGCAATAAATATTATACACTAAATGGCTGAAGTACACACCAGGGACAGGATATTGCTATCACGTTCAATGCTTAATGGCAAATCTTAAAGATACCCAGTGTATTCAGACGTGCAAAAAAGGTTCACATTGTCCCCAATAGACCGGTCGCTGACAGTGTTGCCTCAAAGCTTAAATCTTCCTTGGAAAGAATCCCGGATTATATGTGCTAAAGCAAGTGTATAAAGTTTCGAGTGATGCTGACTTAAATATTCTGGATGCAATTAAAGCATTGAAAATACTAGGCCACAAGTGTGCTTCACGAACTTTAGTGGACGTCGAGCATTCTTTTTTGCATAAAAGCAAGCACAATTCAAGGCCGAAAACGTTGAGATGATGCTGGTTTGTCACTATTTTTATAGCCTTTCCCACAATGTCAAATTACCTCAGCTTTTATCTAAATCTGTTCAAATGATTGTGCTTCTTATCAATTTGTTTTATGGAAAATATAAATCTAGTTTTCCTAAAGCACAGAATTTGCCTGCTGTGTTTGAATATTTGTCCTGAGCATGCTGCTGAAGTAATTATGAATTGTGCCTATATATGCCTAAACGATAGTTTTTTAACGCCCTTTTATGCCTAAATAGCAATTTTTAGGGCCTATTACAGACGCCTAAAAATTCTTTCTTCGTGCCTGAAGTTCCGGTCTAGACATGACACGCACTTAAAAATCGTTGATATTAAGTCCTAGATAAACCTATCCGACAAGTTATCGCGTTTTCAGTTTTGTCAGTAGTGCTTTAAGGAGGCATTCAGACCGGCGACTGACAAAAGTCCGACTGGCACCAACGACCGCGACGCCGTTCGTCAACGATGCGATGCTTCAAGTCTTCCGTTGTCGTCGGCAGTGCTCGCCCGGCTCGTTCCTTGTCGGTCTTTTGCAAATTGGTACGCGTTAGCCGCGACCCACCCTGCGACCAGTGCGTCTCACTACATCGCGACGGCCGACGTATCTTTAGGCTCGCGGTTCCGGGTGCGTCTGACGCACATTACCTTCAGCTTTTTGGGATTCGCGCACACCCGACGTATCTTAAGACTCGCGGTTTCGCGTACGTCTGACGTACCTTTAGACACAGCAAAAGCCGCTAGACATACACACACCTATACACAAACGCCTCCACACAGATCTTGCGTATTTGCCAACCTGATAGTTCTGGGATATATACACGCCCGCGTAGACTCCAGCGCCGAACGAAACCTGCAAGCATACCAATGGAATCAGTGCCGGCAGACAATCGTTGGTACGCGTTGATCTTCAAAACTTTACCCCAGTGAAAGACGGGACACAAGAAACGACAGTGGAAGAGCAGTGTCCAACGGTTTTTTTTGTGTTCCATACTTGCTTACTTGTGCTCACGGTGTAAGAAACATCGTACTTTTACTACTATTTTTCGTAACACATCTTGTACTGTGAAGTTTTGAATCAACAGGTCAGAAAGTAGCGCCACCGCCGACACTGTCAGCAGGAGACATGACAGAAACTATAACAGAAACCCACCAAGCTGTCGGCATACTGTAGAGCGATTACTAGAGAGAAAGAAAAAAAATTATTGGGGTTTTCGTATAATTTTTTAACAAAAAATAAAAATAAATGCCATATATCGATGTGAATGTTTCAAGGTCATGATGCTGCTGTTCCCTGAAGCTAGGCCGCACGGAATGCAAGGGAGCGCTGCGCTTGGACAATTGAGTGCGCGTGCAACGCCACGCACGCGCTAATACTCACAATAAACTTCAACATGTCCGGTCCTGTGTCGCGTTTGGTCCTGCTGTAAGATAGTGCAGTGCTCGCCGGCCACAGCAGCCTGTTTCGCGAAGAAAGGGTCTCGCAGCGATCGAGCACGTTTCTTTCAACTACACAAATCGCCCAAGGCGACAGGTTTCAGCCTTTGTTTGCGCTAACAGTACGCTCGCAGTATGGTATTCAGCATTACGCACGTGCAGCAAAGGGTGAAGGAGCCTACACTCACTATTGTTGGGTAAGTATATAAGCCTATTCCTTATTGATAAAACTGGACGCTGGACACACTTATCTAAACTATTACGTTGGACAGGATTAGAATACGACAATACGTGGGAACATCGTAGCCGACGAATGAGCCGCAAAACAGTGCGGACATTTTATTTCGCTTCCTGCAGCAATATATGTAGCGCTAATATTTGCCCTAAATATCTTCCGGGGTATAAACCGAGCATCGACGTATGTCGAATCTATTTGCCTGCCGGAAGGTTATGGGCGAGTAAGTACGTAGCTCTGTGTTCTGCGGTAGCGGTGGTCCCTGTTGACAAGATGAATCCGCGCGGATAACCGTCACTGTTCGCAATCTTTATGTTTCAGGCCTAATGAGCGCCAACAAAGAGTGTATCAATTGAAAGCCAGCCTAAACCAAAGGCTCCTTGAAACTGGAGAGCGAGATCGGTGAGTCCTACTGCATCGTACGCATGCATCAAGCACGTATGCACTATACACGCGTATTGTCTCCGCGTTCGTGTATTGTGCTTTTTTATGTGTGCGATGTTCCCTCGTCGTTGCGAGTCCCTCTGTCGAATACTGCATTGCTGAAACCACACTTGATTCCCTTTTTTCCCCGTAATTTGTTGACGCTTGCTGATGTAGCCAGGTCTCATGTAGCGGTTAAATCTTGACAGAAACCGAGAGGCGCACATATATGTATATGTTTTTATATTCGGTGGCATCTGACGCCCAATGTTAATGTGTAAACATGCATAGTGTAATAACACTAATAATTAAGCCTTTCATTGTAAACAGTGCAGATGTAAGCCAGTGCTGGACAAAATTAGGACTTTGGGCAGAAGCCATGAGAAAATGGCACATGAAATACTTGAATCTTAACATTACAAAGAATGGCGAGGAATATTGTAGTGATAGCTCTGTGGCGTTGCGCAGGAAAGAAAAAGATTTCCTGCAATTTTTTCTGTAATCTTGAGGGATTAGTAGGGCAAAGAATGCATACAGTGATTGTATGTCAGTTTATTCTATTTTGCAATTTTCGTTAAGAGCATGACCATGTGACTGCATAAGTACAGCCATGAGCACATTTAACTCAAATGCTCTGACGCGTGGCCTCGGCTCCCTTGGATTGAGGTCGGTGCCGCCAAGCATTGAAACAGTTTTTGATAGGTGGAGCGCATGTTGGTTTCACAAGTAAATTTCTGTTGCCAGTCTACCTGAATGGCGGGTCGAATGCACACACCTTGCGTCCTGTTTTCGCCACATTTCGCTCATGATTACGTTATCGTGTGGCCCATGGCATTTGTGGTCGTATACTTATCTCGGCAATAAACAATTGGCTTTTTGTGGTAGTACACGCTACTTGTGCTAAGCATGCCTTACCTGCCATGTTGTTTGCGCAGTATGAAATTTAAGCCTCCAGCTGCCTGTTTTCATGCCTTAAAGAATCTCTAAGTAAATAATTTTCTACAGCTATCTCTAAAAGTGATCCCGCGTCGTCAGAGGTCGAGCGCTCCTAATCTGTGCGTGTCCTATTCCCAGTCATGGCGGGCGCATATCAGCGAAATGCATGCTGTTATGTATGTGCATCGTATCTGGGAATGACATCATAAATGCTATCAATGCTTAATGAGTAATCGTATATAGAAAATTCAGTGGCTGAGTGTATCCCAGCACTCTTATGAGGCCTGCTGTCTAAATAGAATACTGCACTTGCATACTGTAACATAAATTGCATATTCTAGTCATTCCATTCATTATCTTTAAATTGTTTAATTTGTTTCACATTTATCGGCTCATATATTGAGCAGCTACAGGTGTTGACATTGCACGAATGAAAATTTAGAAAAAAAAATTTTCGGTAACCTCTTGTAACAACCACAAATTTGGATTCTGTGCTTTACATGATTGGGGTTTCATAACCTTGGATACGGGAACAAAACCTGACTGCTTCAGGTTTAGCATACCTGAAGCCAGTAATTTCGGAAGCTCTTCATGTGCTGTTGTTGTATAAAACAAAGTCTGCAATTTGACCACAAACTCACACTATCACCAAAAAGCCAAGCATCATGCACTGTAGTTATAGTGATTATAGTTACCTCAAAGGGGCCATGCAACATTTTCTTCATCCACAGTATTTGCTTTTGATCTATCCTCAGTATGAAAAACACCTAAAGGAATTATGAAAAAGCTGATGAATTTAGGTTATTGGCCAGGGAAACTTGTAGAAAAAAGAAAGCAAATGGAGAATTGATCTGAATTACATTATCATAGATGTCACAAAAAAAAAAAAAGGTGTGGTAACTGAATATGGCAGAGGCGGCAGCTAAAGTCAGTGCGCCATGATTACGTTGCCTGCCGATGGCATTTCCATAACCAGGCAACTCAGTCTGGCCTCAAACGACCATGGCGTCACTTATATGGTTGCACCTCCTGCACCAATTGATAAAATGTAATGTCATAGCTTTTCTTTTTTTCATCACTTAAAATATCACACAAATGTATGAGTGTAGTATTCAGACAATGATTGTAGTGCCACTCATTGATACCACATTTGTTGTGCAAAGCAGATGAATTCCTTACATTGGGATGCTGCCCAATAAGCTTTCTTGGTATTGTAGAATGGCCTTTTTTGGATGTACTATCGGCGTTAAATGAACCCGAACAGCGGCAACCCTTCGTGATGGTATAGTGCGTGCCCTCCACTCATCACCATGAACAGGCACACATTTATGCGCAGAGATGCCCAGCAGGATGCGCGCGCCAGTCAACATTGCTAGCTGGACGGCATGCACTATACTATCGTGAAGGCTTGCCGCTGATCGGGTTTTATTTGAAGCTGATAGTACAGTGACACACTATATAATCTGTAACATGGGAGTGCGTGGCGTCACAACTGCGAAGATTGCGCATAACTTCCACTAGCTTTCATTTCCACAATAAAACAGTGTCTATCACTTGTGTGCGATTCTCACTAAGAAAATATTATTTTTTTTTTGTAGAAATAAGGGCAAATTGAAAGCATGCACAAACTTTGAGCTCGTGCATTCTTTTGTTGTCTCATAGTGGGTGAAACAGTGTCTTTTATTGTAATTTTCTTGTGATTGTACAATGCAAAATTAGCAGTAGACACACAATAACACAGCATTAGAGTGCTAAATGGCTATTGAAAAGGTAATGAACTAAATTGCTCCTGATGTGGCTTTCGTAAATGATTTATTTTTTATAGGATCAGCCGTTTAAACACTTCCAATCATGCATTGTATATGTGCTCTATGAGAGGTAAGTTCAGTGAAGTGTACTCTGAGGCCGTAACAAAAGTAGTTCATGAAAAACTGAATGTTGATAAATGTTTTATATCCACACGGTTGAGCATTGTCTGTGTTGTCATTAAAAAAATTGTAGCATCGAATAAAACCTCTTATTGCTACGCACTGGCGAACATGTGCGAAATATGCAGTGCATTTCTTCTAATGTGTCATTGTACCTTGCTGGACCATGAACTGAAAGCTTTTTTGTGGACGCTGACAGTGCCCAAGATCTTGTTTTACCTTTGAAACAGTATATGGTCATTCTGCGCCAAATGTCTAAACCATGGCGTTTGCCGAAAGCAAATTTCTATAAAAACAACTCAAAAAATTGCAAACATATAGACATTTATTTTGCAGTATTTTTCCAAAACATTTTCAGCATAAAAAATTTTTTGCGCATGTGACCACCATTTGAAATTCACGAAATGGAAGAAAAACCAAGTATGGAAAAAAAATCGTTATGAATCGACCGTTCCGCGCATTCTTTACAACGGAGCTTTTTTTAGCGTCGTCCTCTTATTATACAACGATTCCGTATGGTAGCTATAATTTTTCACTCTTCAGAGCGCAGACAAAATTAAGTAAATTGTAGTGTTTTTGCGTTTTCGAAAAAGGAAGTGAGAGTAGAATGCATGAAATGGTCAGTTTAGAGAGATTTTTTTTTTTTTACTGGCTTTCCTTCATTTTGGGAATTTCAAATGGCGGTCATGTGTGTAAAAAATTTTTGGCTTAGAAAATATTTAGGGAAAATACTGTATAAGTAATGTTTACGTGTGTGCATTTTTCCTAGATGTTTTTATAGAACTTGATTTTTGGCTAACATCATGGTTAGAACAGTTGGCATAGAATAACCTTATTGGCACCGGGTGGCCGTTATACAGCGCTAGCTGCGCTCCTCCGGAAAAGTGCCGCGAGTGGTGGCAGGGACGGCACTGGCATGTGAAGCAGCTGACACGGAGAAGGCTCGGCTACTTTCAGCATCGCTTTTGTAGAATAGCAGAGGTGTTTCGTTTTGAACAATTCGAAGCTGTACATTGTTGCGTTTGTTACCCAATGCAAAGAGTAGCAATAGCAACATTGTTTTTTTTTTTTAACGAGAGACGACGCGTTCAACTGTTGGACATGTGTTCAGACAACGGGGCTCATCATCGGGCCTCTGGAAGACTCCCATGCAGTTGTTTGCGGTTGGTCAGCGTTTAATGGTCTGGCAAGCCCACTATGTACACACAACTACTCCACTTACAAAAACATGTTAATGATTCGTTGGGCTTGACTCAAAGCTAAAAAATGCAGCATAGACTCGCTAACTGCTTCGCATAAAACCGATCAACAATGCATGGGATCTGCTGAACCTTTCCTAATACTTTGTCATTGTGTCTACAGGTCAACATTCTCCCCTAATGTTAAAAAAGAGAGCGTACATCTCCCATTCCATTTTCATCTTCTTTACTCGATGGTTCACTGATAGCACTTGTTTCTCTGTTGTAGTTTTTACCCGCTCCCATTTTCTTTTTAGTGCTTCGCCAACCCTGATATTTTAACAGATAATGTAATCTTTGGTACTCGTACACTTCATGCAGATTTGGGCAGCGTACAACAGACGCAATGGCAGCACAATGAAAGGAAAGTAACATATCCAGCCTCGAGCACCCGCAGCAAGCACCTGCGACTGTTCAGGCACCCACATGTCATTAGTTCCCCTTGCCACCGCCAGAAGCGCCACGAGTTCAAACTCGCCCCGTGCCCGGCGCTTGTAGTATTTCTGTATAATGTTGAGTGTTGTACATGCAGACTTCATTTTTAATTTCAGGAAGCGCATAGATTTTGTTTTGGGAGTATTCGTCTGTAGTTTTTTTTGTTGTAAACTACTAGTGACAAGTCACAAATACTAAACATTCTTGGAATCTTGTGAAGAACCTCGAATTTTCATTATATAAACCTTTGTTCTCATTTTTAGGTTAAAGGAGTTGCTAAGGACAAGGCTAATAGAATGTGGGTGGAAGGACCAGATGAAAGCGCACTGCAAAGGTTAGTTAAACCTCTGTGGCATGTATAGAAATTGAACTGGTATAGCGCATTACGGGGAAGAAGAAACGGCCGAGCAGACCGACACAAGAGGACAGAGCGCTAACTTCCAACTCCAACAGTTGAAAGTTAGCGCTCTGTCCTCTTGTGTCGGTCTGCTCGGTCGTTTCTTTTTCCCTGTAATGCGCTATACCAGTTCAAGTATGATGAACCAACTCTCCCAATCTTCAACACTCGTGGATGTATAGAAAGTGCTTCATGCACTCTTTGTGTGTCTAATTTTGGAGTCTCTATATAAAAAAGGTCTGAAAATTTTCATTGTTTTCACTACCACTTGCAATCATTGCTACATGGCTGTTAAAACCAGTAATAAATGAAGAAACAGTGACAGCTATTAAGCAAAAGCCACGGAGCAAGAATATTTGAGGATGAGAAACTCGGGCCGTGGCGGCGTGAGAGGGCGACTTGATAGCATCTCGGCGAATAATGGCTTGCACCGAAGTTCGCCAGATGACGCTTTCGATGTCATGCCATCTTATACATGCGCTTCTATGAATGTGATGCATAAAAATCCCGATAGCTCCTCTTAGATTGTAAGATTTAGCAAATTTCTGTCTGTAACATCAATTGCTAGACGTGGCAGATGTTTTGGTTCGAGTTATTAATTGATGCTGCGAAAATTGGAAGCCGTACAGGAGCTTGAAAAGAGCTGCTAAATGATCCCTGAGCAGACGACGTTTAATGCCTGCACATGCACACACCCCTCGATCCTCGCATGTCGTGCACGCGCATGCGTAGGTGGCCTTGGGAGTTCCCAACAAGTGGCCGCGAGTCCCTTCGCGATCTTGGCTTGCACATTGCACCGACTTGGGCGATTCCTGAGTGTGTGCACATGCTTTTCACTCCGTGACAGAGTGCTTTGAACACTTCGACCAGTGGTTCTTCGGGATGCGGCGAAAGTGTGTTGTGCCGAATCGCATCAGTGGATAGGCATCCTGCAAGGTCAAGGTAATTGCCCTCAAAGTTTTAGTGGCCCAGTGAGGTTGGAGGCGTTGGCTTGCACCATAGCCAGGAAAGGCCTTTGGCGCTATTGGGGTGAGCTTTGTGGCGGCAAAGTTCTGGACAAAGTGAAACGACCAGTGTTTTTACCTAACTCCGTGCCTTCAAACTTTCCACACTTTCTCAATTACTTGTCAGCTGTTCACACACATGCACGCACACATACATATACATGTGCACACACATACACACAAACATACGCAGAAAAGTGATCTAGACCTGATGTAAAGGGAAGAATGCGTGCAAGGACAACTACTTTTGTTGCTCAAAGTAAACATGCCTGCTCATTTTATTTGCTCAAACGACGACGCCAATGTTGTCATTTCTGCGAAACGAGCGCTTAAACGCTGTCGTGTTATAATTTGGAGCTGACGAGTATGCACGGGAAGGCATCCACTGGGGTGCAAACAGCCATATGGCGCGGAGTGGCCTTGAACAAGGGCGCGGTGAGGACAGCGAGCGCGTTTTTCCTTCTCCGCTAGCAGAGTTTCACGAGAGAAGGCTCATTAGTCCTGTTCCTGGTTTCGTGACGTTTTCAGGGCGTCCGAGTGAGCGCAGTTTTGCCTTCTCAAGAATTCTTGCTCCTTGGGCAAAATCATCCTTGCGTCTGCACTTGGAATTCCCTAGAATAGTAATGGTAATTAGCCACGAGTGTTCCTTCTGCGGGATTGGCCGTCCTACCAAAGGCAGTTTTAAAAAATTTGTTACATACATACCACTATTTTTGGAATCCCACTGTCTAAAAACTACCTGTTTCATGTTGCATCCTGTACCGATGAAAGATACGCACAGGCCAGTTCCGAGCAGGAAAAAAGACCACTTCGTTTATTGAGTGCTCGTATTTTAAGATAGTGTTGAAGAGTACAGTGTGTGCATGGCGATAAGCGCTGGCATCGAGTGAAATTTCACAGGCTTTGATTGCCATATCGATATACTAGTGTGTATTCTTCCATTTCAGAAATCATCAGAGAAAGGGGCGTAGAAAACGTATCTGTTGATGAACTTGTCGCTGCAATTACCCCTAAAGGAAGAGGTGAGCGTGAATTTGCTTTGAAAAGTATAATCTCTCTGACACGAAATTTATAATAGGGCCTTGCAACACCTTTCCAAACAATCCTTGAAAGGACCTAGCTTGTGAAGTTCTGTGCCTCACACGTCGATTGCGACAAATTTCTCAAATTCGTCAAGTATAACTAGTGTTGCAGAAATTTGAGCATTTTTTCTCGTTCTACCTCGACAAGTGCGCTAGAAGCTACACAGGGAGGGATGATAGGGTTATGTTAGTACATGTGATGACCTTGAGCGTTTCCTTTTTTCTTTGAATGCATTTGCATAACTCTGGGATAATGAGAAACGACACGGCCACAGTAATAGTGGAAGACTGTAAGCACTAGTCTTGTGTAAAAACTGGGCTGATGTCGAATCGAGTACTGTCGTAGTAAGCTAAGTACAAGACAAGGCATCGGCTATGGCATGAGAGTGTTTGAGGTAGCATGGGGGGCGTTGTACAAAATGTGCTACCTCTCACAAACATAGCAGAAAACTAAACAACTAGCAGATTACCATAAATAATATCAGAGTGTGTTTTTGAAGATAGATATGTATATATTTACTTTATTAAACTAAAAACAATGCAAATATTACTGAGGATATTTGTGATTACAAAAACAACCTATGACATTGTCCTTACCTTTGTCTATGCAATTTGCTGAGAGGAAAGTGAGCAGTCTTTAGCGGTATATGAAAGGAAACAAAATGGCAAACTCCCTGCAGCGAAATAATTGATTCACACGTTCACGGGTGGCAGCATTTTCTATCCAACTTCTTGAAGTCGTGTAGGACCCCTATGAGACAAAACTAAAATAGCTTGCAGCAATGGTTGCCATTATTAGAGCAACCAAGTAAGGTGTTTTCTTCCAGCATTTGGCTAAGCTTGACGACTTGATCATACTTTGTACCTGTACATGTAAACGAAGTACATGTGATGAAACATGCCAAATGACCAGGTCATTGCCGAAGTGAACACTGTGGTGATGCAGGACCATCGAAGAAATTGTGGAAGAGCAGGGCATCAGCACTTTCTCTGCACCTTGCATTATGACTGAAGATTTGGCTATGAAAAGAGTTGCAGTGAAATTCATGCCAGAACTGCTCACAGTGGAGGTAAAGTAACTTCATGTTGAAGTCTCACACGACATGCTGGATTTCACAAGCTGTGACCATAACTTCATAAACACCATTATCACTGCTGACGAGTCTTGGGTGTATGGGTATGACCTGGAAACGAAATTCCAGTTGTCACAGTAGGTCATCAAGACCAAAGAAGGCCCGCCAAGTGTGCAGCAACGTCAAAGTGATGCCGAGTGCTTTCTTTGACTCCGTGGTGGGGTACTACACCAAGAGTACGCACCACAAAGTCAATTGACAAAGAGTACTTACTACATGGATGTCCTCCATCACCTACGAGATGCTTTGCAGCGCATGAGACCTGAGTTATGGTCAACAGGAAACTGGCGCATCCATCATGGCAATGCTCCTGCACATTCCTCAGACTTGGTTCAGACTTTTTTTTTGGTGAAAAGTCAGACGCCTTACTCTCCTGATATGGCCCCTTTCAACTTCTGGCCGATTCCCAAACTCAAGAGGACATTGAAAAGAGAGCGGTTTCAGACAAAGGAGGACATTATGGCTGCAACAACAGCTGTGCTAAACTCCATTCCGAAAGAGGCCTTCTCGGAATGCTTCCAGAGATGGCTGCACCGCAAGGAGAAGTGTGTGGAGTCCCAAGGGAACTACAGTAGATGCTCAATAAACGGAACCTGAAAGGACCGGGAAAATATGTTCCATTTAACAGGAGTCCCATTTACTGAAAGGTGAACATGGGTGCACAATACAAGCCCGAAACCAAGCATTGCAGAGCGGATAGTTCCATTTAAGCAGTAGTTTTGTTTAACAGATATCCGTTGACTGAGAGTTTACTGTACTTTGTGGGGGTTAGGTTTCGAACGCTTCAATGATGTCGTTTTTTTTTTTTTTTCTTCCACCAAAGGTCGGATACTGTTCTAACATACCTCGTAGTCGAGTTCAGATCCTTCCTTCAATGAAATTTCTTTACCCTTTTCACATTACAATGATTAAAAGCTTAGTAATATCTCTATGCTTGAGTGTTTGTGGTTCTTAAGGGGACACTAAAGTTAAATAACAATTTAATGTCACAGTGAAAGCTAAATGTATGACACCATCCAAAACGACAATATTATCGACAACAGTGCCTTACTTGCCGAGAAATTAAGGTAAATGCACAAATACACAAGCGCCGCAGTAGGACATATTCAAAGTGATCCTGATGACTTCAGAAGGACTGCCCACAATTAATCACTAGTAATCAATCTAACTGCTCTAAGTACACAACCTTCCGTGCATCAAGAGACTCAATAAAATGCTGCTTGTTTGTTTCTATTTGATTCGTGCAAAAAAGAACCGCCGGATGTTACTATGGAGAATGGCGAGAGTAGTTCGGAAATTCGATTTTCGCGTGGTTACATGGGACAGGTGGTGCCATTTAGCAGAGCGAAGTTGAAACAAAAGCGTCTGCAATCTCGAAGCCAATGGTGGGAAATTAATCAATGGCCGTTGTTGCTCCCGCTGCTTTCGGTCTGCTGCTACTAGCGCACTAAAGCCAGGCAACGTTGTGCATGGCAACAGTGATGCGAGTCAGTCCGCTTCTTGAGGCGGGTAATTTGAAGTGTGCTAACCTGTGACTTTATTTCAAGATAGGCCCTTCCTTGGCACAAAAGTAACTCTACGTTTCTGGACTTCCATGTCAACAATCAACTTTGACTTAATAGTTGACTTTATTGTGCCTTTATCTAAGAAACACCCCTTGCATTTTTGCGCACAATAACAAGACTTTGCAAATGATTAGAAAAAAAAAAAAACTAGACACATAAGCACCACAGAAGAACATCTTTCTGCTGGTGGTGCTAGGTTTTTCACTAATTACGTGGCCCAGCAATAAGTTCTCCTAAGTTGGGAGATGCCTCAGCAGCATGTTGACAAGTACCGTATTTACACGATTGTAGGTTGACCCATTTTGTCTTGAAATCTGAAGTGGGGGTTGGTTGAGTTAGAAGCGGAAAACTAGTTTGTTTTAGTCTTCTTGAAAAGGAGCTAGCTTTCCTTCACAGATCTCAAGCACTGTCGCGAAGCCACCTTGGCGCACAAGAATAAGACTTCATTTCCTTTGGCGACATCGTAAATAAATATTTTTCATAAAATGTGCTCGGGCTTGTTAATTTTTTTTTTTTTTTTGATGTGCGATTTTAGGGAGCTCGACTTACATTCGAGTCAACTTACAATCATGTAGATATGGTAGGTATGTGTAGTGTGTGCCGAAAAATACTTAATCCTATTGCTAAAGCTCTGGTTACTTTTGTGCCCATGATTTTTGCATTTCCACACTACTACTAAACCACTGAAAGAATTTATTTGCACACGACTCTGGAAAGCAAGTTCATTACTAAATAGCGACTGCAAAATTTGTGTTTCAGCCACTGTGCCAGACATCATCAAACGTGAACTCCTTCACCAGATCAAGAATTTCATGATTTTGGAACAGCAAAGAGGCTGTTAGCTTTGCCACTGAAGACTGCACTTGTAAAGACGTGTTTGTTGCCCAACCACGTGAAGACATGTGTGATTGCGCTTTATGCGCAGCTTTCCTTACGAGAATTGATGCGTACCTATTGATGCATAATGAAACTTAGTTTGTATGTGAAGAATGACGACAATGCGATTATATTTCAATAAACACTGAATTCGAAAAGGTGTCTTGTATATGAAGAGCAGCCAACATTGGTAAAAAGCAGTGTATATATTTTCGAAATGTAAAATACTGTACAACACGAAAAAGGGTGACGCATGCTTTCCTGTGTGCCTTAATTCTCAGAAAAATACACATTGCATACTGTAGTGCCACTGCATCCAAAAATTGGGGATGGCTGTCAGGGTTCTCCAGACTGCCACACCACCACTTTTCCATCACTTCCACCTGTTGCAATGAGGCTTCCATCATCAGATACATGAATGCAGGTTACAGGTCCTGTAAACAGAAAAGCGTGTATTTATTTTGCACCGCTCATTTTTTAGATTTCAGAAAGTGTAAACCCCGGAACTCGTGGCTCATGCATTCCCTGGTGGTAGCCATGCTCTATTCACTCTCACAATCTTTTCTTTATCTTTCATTTTTCTCCACTGCACTCTGCCTTGCTCTCTTGCATATTCCCCTGTGCAAATTATTTGCTACGCTATGATGGGTGAAGAGCACACAGAACCGATCGAGGGGCACGTAAGAGCTGTGCTTTGAAAACGATTGTTGAGAATGACACTTTAGGGACAACAGCAGTGAAAGTAAAGGCAACGGTGAGTATTATATCATCACTTTATACCAAGCACTGCATATTCTGGTGAGATAAAATTTTACTAATGAAACATGCTTTCAAATCTTATACTATGGGCATTCGTATAGTATGCAGCAGGCCTACATGATAAGGATACGTTGGCATGTCAAGCTTCACTAACTATGAAGATTGTGTTGTACAGCAGTACCACAGAACAGTGCTAGAGGAAACAAACATAATGTCGGGGTTTTAACATCCCAAAACCACATGATCGTGAGTGACACTGTAGTGAAGGGCTCTGGAAATTTCGACGACCTGGGATAGTGCACGGACCTCAAACATTTTCGTTTCCATCGAACGTGCAGCTGCCACAGCCGCGATTCGATACTGCGACCCGTGTGTTAGCAGTCTAGTGCCATTATGAAAACAAACATGTTGGCATCCATAAGGAAAGTTGCAGTATAGACATTGATTAGCTTCCCCCTGTTTAAAAGTGTGCAATAACAAAAACATTTTTGTTGAGCCAGATGTGGTTTACTGTGACTTACACCCTAGGTTATGAGTAGAGGCTGGATTTATAGCATTGAAAAACCAGGTTTTAGGCACCAAAAATAGGCGGGCAAAACACTGTTTTAGGCCCCCAAAATTGTAAATGTAGGCATAATAAACTTCGACAAAATTCAAAATTTCAAAGAAATACGTGAGAGATCTCTGTTGGAGGGGGTGCGACCTCATGGGTCGCACCCCCTCGCTTTGCTGGCCTTCAACACGGCGCGGCGGCAACAGTGAAGGGAAAGTGGAAAGAAGGAGGCCATTAGATCACGTGTTCAAACGTGACAGCATCCATTTGCCGCTGCAGAAAACAGTCTATACACTAAGGAATGGTTCTGCATGCATCAAAGTAGTACGTGACTGTGAGAATCATTCGAGGCGACGGTGTAATTTGTGCAATCTGTTGCCTGAATAGAAGCATGAAAGTTTACAGAAATATTAAAACATACAAGCAGAATCTATGCACGTTACTTTTTTTAATTTCGTATTGAGCGAGATGCGAGACTAAGCTGCCTCCCATTTCATTTGCATTGGTGTTCCCACATCATGCCAATACAGCATTCACAACGTTTAGCATGTTTTTAGGACATCATCCCTTAGAGCAGTTTCTGTGGTGTGGCACTGTGTATCGTGGTAAGGATATATGATGTATGCCAGCCTCTCCAAACGTGCATGCATGTAGGGATCCATCCCACAGAAACGGGCGGTACAACAGAGAAGGTCAAAACGGCACAACAGCGCTTGTGTGCACGACCTGGCATAGGCATGTCATCCGAATGTAACCTTGCGTGCGCATGACGTGTTGATGCCTATGCGTCGTGTGATCTTCTGGCTAGGAGTTGCTCCAATAGCGAAAAGTGCAGGGAAAGAATTAGGCCTGCTGAGTTTACACCGGGCGAGTGGCAAAGGTTTTGAGCTCACCTCATTGCATCACGCTTACACGGCTTGCAATGAACCAATTAAAAAATTCTAGAGGTACAAAACATTTCATTAGGCACGCAACAACTTCCAGCGTCTAAATAAAATTTATCATGCGGCCTAGTGAACCACCGTTTAAGAAGTAAATGACAAACAAAAAAAAAAAACCACGTGAACGTGTTTTTAACCTGCACTCTACTTTCCCCTGATTACACTTCATGGTTCTTCATCAACCTGCGGCTGCGCAGAAGCGCTTCTTGTTCCCTACACATGCGAGCAGACGCAAGGAGATACTGAGCACACAACGCAATGCAGACGAATACATGTGTAAAGGCTAATAAATCTTCCTATGGACATCTTCCTAGGCCTTGTAGCCTTGACCGTGCTGAAAGAACTTATGAGATGGAGTACAGGTTGCACCCCACAGAGTTTCGAAAGCTAAATTTTGCCCGGTAACATAACTACCTGTCTCCGACTGTACTCGAAACCAAATTTGCGGTTAAACAGGGTTCATATAAGCTTTGATTTTGACCCTAGGCATTTATAGACACTTATAAGGATTTAGACAAAAACGTCAAATATGGACATTTATAGGCAGTATAAAAACATAAAAGCTATTCTTAACCTCTAATTCATGCTCATATATCAAAGTGGCACGATATAAATGCAAGAAACAAAATAGGCATTTGCCTATTATCCAGTCTCTAGTTAAAAGATTGTTGTGAAATGAATCCAATGTGGTCTCACAGCTTAGACAACAATAGAACGGCTGATAACTGCCAAGACTCCAGCACTCTCTATCTGACATTTTAAGGCAGCGGTCCCACTCCGGCGGCACAAACACAGCGTTTTTGTTATTTTTCCAACTGCTCCGGTGGCAGTTTTTCCTGCTTTATGTAGCTAACTTATATATCATTGAAAAGATTGATCTTTGTACATTCGGAATATCTATGAAAAAAAAAAAGTCACCCTTTAGTACTTCGGTGTGGAGAGCCAGGAATAAGTGCTAGTTACACCGTTTTGGGCTGACTATGCCCCAGCAGTGACCATTTTCTGATAAATCTGCTACAGTTACAGCACTGTTCTTTTAACAGCACTTTCTAGATATATTTATCTATTTCCTAAACGTAGCAAATTAATGTCGGACTTCTAATTTATAGCTGATCAGCTTTTGAAAATGGACAAATTTAGTAACTTTCGCTGCAGACTGCTCGGTAACTGTTCACTAGAGAAAATAAATTTTCATGGCATATGCAGATGGTAATATTCTCCGTCTGAAGGCGAAATATCAATAATGTACGTGCTCTCACATTTTAATTACACTGATGTAAATCGGGCAATATTCTCAATACATAGACCTACCTTGGCCCATTTTTACGGATAACTAATGAAGTTCTGTGGCTGATTGCATGTAGAGAAACTAAAGGCCCCTATTTATGTCCTCAACGTAACATTTTTTCATAAAGCGAATAGAAATGCGATTGAAGCTCAGAAATTGTCTAAAAATATACTGCCACAGACGTCAACAAAAACGTTGTAGTCTTCAAATGGCACTGACATCTGAGCACGCGTAGCCGAAAGAATAGCAGTTACGATCTCCTCATACAATTATACACAAGAATGACACACTAACACTGTAGAAATACTAAGCAATCTGCATTATTCCTGTAACTACAACGGGAATTTTCTCCTAATGCCACCTAGACAGTATAACTGAAAACGCTGTATTTGAAAGCTCCACGTTTCGCCGACTGTGGCATGCGAAAACATTTTACTTCAGGAAAGAAAGTTATTTCTAGCCACAAACTATGCACCACCATCTATCTGTAAGTATTTTCTACATGCCCCCCTGAGCGTCTCTCATACAGCTGCGCGAGAGAGCGTCAAAGCAGATGGGGTCGTCCCTCTTGTGAGTGCGTGTGTCTGGCAGAACAGGTTCTTGAATAGAAATAAAAAAAAGGAGGGGGGAGCACATGTGTGTCTGTGGCCACACAGGCTACCATGAAAAAGCGGAACGACAAATAAAAACAAGCAGTGAAAAGGGCAGTGCGTGTTCCATGCACCCTGGCTGCACTAGACACATCAGACACGCTGCATCGCTTCCTTTGTCGCGCCTGCTGCCTGATGGCCACCCTTCCCTCTTTCTTCTCTTCTGTGTTTCCTTATCCCGCCCCTAATCCCCATCCCCCAAAGGTGCTTAGCCGTGTCGTCTTGTGACAGGCAGATATAATAGTAGTGCCCTTTTCCCTTCTTTCTAAAACTACCAAAGTAAGCAGACGTACTCTGGCAAAGTATGGTCCAAATATCAACTAACTTTTCTTTTGGCAATAATATGCAGCTTTTCAGAAGTGGGATTTCCTGGGTTTGTATGAATTCATTGCAATGAACAGCATAAATACAAGAGTAGGCACACATAAAGGAATGACAAATAAATTGTTTTATATTTGCTGTGTGTTGATTTCTGTCATTGCTAACAAGCTAAACACTGTACTGTCAATCAAGCACAATTAAGATGTATCTCTTGGCGTCAATGAAATGTTGGCCACTCGAATTTCTTTCGTACCAGCTTCCCTTCCTTTCTGTGTCTTCAACATTCGTACCTGACAAAACTACGATATGGCAGGAATGCATGTCACGTAAGTAACCTATCACGTTCATCTGCACTTGCTGTGGCCTGAACTTGCTAGATTGTCCATAAGAACAAACTTGGCAGGATAAGTTCACTCTGACCCACCGTGTGTGATATACGTTACCAGATTATTCATCGGACTGTTTAGCTTGTGGACAAGAGTTCGACGTCCACCTACAACCAGCACGTTTACTAAGCACCGAAATGCAAGATCACCCGTGTATATATGTATTTCCGTGCACTCCAAGTGTTCAGGAGTATCCAAAGGCGACATTCCTCATAATTAAATAAAGCTCTCTCCATGGAAACGCGGGAGTTTGCGAACTT